ACACACAGTTGAAGTCAGAATTATTAGCCCCTCATCGATTTATTTCTTCTTTTTTAAATATTTCCCAAATGATGTTTAACAGAGCAAGAACATTTTTACAGTATGTCTGATAATATTTTTTCTTTTGGAGAAAGACTTATGTTTTATTTCGGCTAGAATAAAAAGCGGTTTAAATTTTTTTATGAACCATTTTAAGGTCAAAATTATTAGCCCCTTAAGTCTTCAGAACAAACCATTGTTATAAAATAACTTGCCTAATTACTTTAACTTGACTAGTTAACTTGATTAACCTAGTTAAGCCTTTAAATGTCACTTTAAGCTGTATAGAAGTGTCTTAAAAATATCTAGTCAAATATTATTTACTGTCATCATGGCAAAGATAAAATAAATCAGTTATTAGAAATGAGTTACTAAAACTAATATGTTTAGAAATGTGTGGAAAAAATGTTTAACTCTCCGTTAAACAGAAATTGGGGAAAAAATAAACGGTGGCTAATAATTTAGGGGGGCTAACAATTCTGACTTCAACTGTATTTATATATATATATATATATATATATATATATATATATATATATATATACACGTGTCTGTGTGATGTATGTAAAATTTGGCCCGCGACAACGTTTGTTTTTTTGCATCAGGCCCTCTGCCCAAAAAGTTTGGACACTCCTGCAGTACACCTATGAACATTTACAGTCTTTGTTCTAGTGCAGTTTGAGATCAAGACAGAACTTATTGCATCTCGTGATGTCTTTGTAAGAATTGAAGACATCACTAAATTTGTTAAGGTTTAATGCAGCTAGAAAGTAAAGATCAACTAGAGAATATCAGCAGTGTCTAACCCACTGTTGTATTTACAGAAGTTGTATGAGAATAAGCTACAGGTTGGTTTATACTAATCTGTTGTTTTTCTTTTTTAGCACGACTGACTGAAGTTTAAAATCATGCAACGTCATAAAGCAGCAGCTGGGCCTGATTCTCACAAAACCAAAACAGACGTGATGAAATTCCAGATGTAAACACATTTGACCTTCCTGTGGCCAATTTGATTTGGAAAAGCTTGAAAATCAACTAAAGGAGCAGCCCGAACAAATGAAGAAACTGGTAAGTTCAAGCTCTTGCTAATTTCAAAGTGTTTTAAGTTTATTTGTTTTTTTTTTTTTTTGATAGTTTTTTTGCTTCGTAGGTAGCCTACTTTTTTCCTAATTTTTTCTTTTTTTTACATTAGTACTTGTTCACTACTAATTATCTGTTTATCTTTTAATCACAGATGGAGTGAGGACAAATGTCCATATCACGCCACTGATAAAGAAGTGGAAAAATGCATTACAAGGTAGCTACAACTTGCCCCTGACAGGGATGGAGGAAGAAAGAAGAGAAAGCTAATGTGTCAAATGTCTACATCACTATTTTGTTTTATTTTTTAAACAACATTTTAAGTGTATTAGGATGTTCCCTGATACTTGAACAATTTGTTTCTTTCATTTGCATATATATATATATATATATATATATATGTATATGTGTGTGTGTGTATATATGTATGGTATGTATGTGTGTGCGCCAAATTCTGAAGAAACATCTTGATACATTTTTAATAAACGTAATACAAATAAAATTATAAATATAAAATTGCACAAGACGTGTATATATATGAAATGTATAATCATCTCACTCATGTCTTGCTGTTTGTGCAATTGATTTTGTTCAAGTTTATTTAAAAAAAAGTTTGACTTTATACTTCTGCAATTATATATATATATATATATATATATATATATATATATATATATATGTTTGTTTATTATTATTTTAATGTTTTATTAAAAAATGTTTCAAGATGTTTCTTCAGAATTCTGCAGTACTTTTTACAAGTTTGACTTGGATATTTTACGGATTGTCATTGGTATTTTTAAGATGTTTCTTGCTATATCTTAAATTGGTTTCTATATTTAGGTTTATATAAAATTTAGCTGTTTTTTTTACAAATTTTTAATTCAAGTCTATTGGGAAAACAGGGTTGTTTTAAAAAACATCTGTGTTTGTGTGTAATTTTTTGATTTTTTGTTTAAATCTTTCTGTGTGTCTTTATTGTGTTGTTTTTATATTGATATTCTTGTGCACTACAAAATTATTTATAAAATTTTAGTACTATTTTTTTCATGCAATCAATAAACGTTTAACATTTATTTATTTTTTCATTTGTCTGATTATTTTCGTTACAGAATATGTATGCAGTTTGCACTTTATTCAAAGGTTAAACGCAGTGCTTACACTTTGTGTTTACATTATAGCCTGTGTTTGCTGTTATATAAATTCAAATGGTTGTAATACCATATATCAAGTACCAATGTAATACCAAAAGGTTTTATAAGGTGTATAAATACGGAGTCGCGCCAGCTCCGGGCCGCAGCGCACATTACCCTCGCGCCGATTCCGGCGCGGATGCGCAGCGTCGGCTCGCTTATGGCCGCCGCATCTGGCCCGCTTGATTCGGGCCGGAATCGGGCAGTGAGTCCACAGGCATCCGGCCCGAGTCCGGCAGCCGAAGTTGGGCCGAGGGGTTAGTCTCCGGCAGGCGACAATCTAGCCGGAACTGGCCCGAGTGTATTTTGCTATCTGGGTAGAAATAAAATTTCCTTCCACACCCGAGAGCAGACTTTCTTCAGTAAGTTTCTTAGAAGAGATCGGCTTCAGGCTTTCTCCTGCTCTTATTTGTTTAATGGCCACCAGCACACATGAAACAGACTCATAAGAACTCATCAAAACCTCCGGCTGCTTCCGGTTACCTGGCGAATTTGTAATGCAAATGAGTCCTGTGAGATTAAGTGAAGACGTCACGTGTAGCAGACTGAAGCCGGCTGTATAATTACTGCACCGCAGGCTGACGGAGAGGACACTTCCTCTAATGAGACACCAAATTCAATCCCGTCCTTTTGATGCTCTTCGGGACGTTACACTGAGGGGGGAAACTCAGCGAATCACGGCTCTGATGACTTCAGCTTTTACAGTTCTTAATTAGGAGAGACAGGCGGCCATTGTTCTACACTAGGTTTCTCCAGTCACGAGATAATCAGGAGTGATGACACGAGCTGCGTTCCATATGACACATTGTGCACTTATGTGTATGAGTTTAGTGTCGTCCCAAATGACACACTGTGCACTTATACACTTTGCACATATAGTTGAAGTGTATTGTCCTCCTGCGAATTGTTTTTCTTTGTCAGATATTTCCCAAATTATGTTTAACAGGTTCAGGAATTTTCACGGTATTTCCTATTATATTTTTTCCTCTAGAGAAGGTCTTATTTGTTTTATTTTTTGGCAAGAATGAAAGCAGCTTTTAATTGTTTTAACACCATTTTAAGGTACATTTATTTACTGGAACACTGCTTTAAATCCGTGTAGATCACAACTTTAAAGGGCACCTAGGTTACCCCTTTTTTCAGATTTAATATAAGCCTTTTGCGTCTCTAGAATGTGTATATAAAGTTTCAGCTCAAAACACTCATCAGATTTTTCATTATACCTTTTACAAGATGCTGTTTTATACTGATTTCCAGCAGGGGGTGGTTTTGTCGTACTGCGGCTTTAAGACAAGATCTCCCGCCTACTTTTTCTATGTGCCTTCCCGCGTGCTTTAATCTCCTCCCTCGGCTGCGTCAGACAACAGACAGACTTAAGCCTGATTTATACTTCTGCGTAAGGTGACCGGCGTAACCCATGGCGCATGCAACGCGCGTGGCTGTGCATTTATACTTCTGCGCACTGTCTCTGTCGGTCTGCATTAACACTTCCGAAACGCTAGTTGGCAGTGAGGTGTAAATGTTCCTCTGTGTCGAGTTTCTTCTCTGCTGTTTTGCTTTTCCTGAACACTTCCGGGATGTACAAGTGGCTCAAACTCGCTCATTTTGAGGCAGGAACCGGCGGACGTGCAACAACTTTAACTATGAGGTAAACACAAAACAAAACTTTCCATCCGGAGCTCCTTCACCGGACTTCACACTTGTAAACAATCGCTCGCGCCATTCGCGCGGCTCTCGGTCCCGCCCAGACTCGTCAGCGATACCAAGCCGACCAATCACAGAGCTTACGCTACGCGTCGTTGCAACGTGTAGCTACATTTTTTGAGAGGTGCACGTCAGTGACGGCGACGGCCACGGCGAAGGGCTATGCGTCAGCGCCCTAGCATACGCCAGCGTTTGACGCAGAAGTATAAATCAGCCTTTAAAGGAAGAAGGTCTCACGTAGCGTTTGTGAGAAATACTACAGTAAGAACTAATCTTCACTAATCAGTATTGTGAAGTTGCATTGATGAGTCACACACAATATCATTACGAAGTTAGCGCGCACACGCATGCACGCACGCACGCACGCACGCACACACACACACACACGCACACACACAGGCAGGCAGACAGAGACAGAGCTTTTATAATTGTTCTGACACGCGGCTGTGCTGATAAAGTAAAGCTGAAGTAAATCGCTGTACTTCATTACACACGTGCACTGTTTTAAAACACTTTAAACATGTGAAACTCACTCTTAATCACATTTGATGATGATTGATAATCCAAGTGAACTGTACAGACCTTTTATTCCCGCTTGCTTTGTGTATGTCTGGTCTTGTTGACATATACACGTGACTACCGGAACAAGTTAATGCACGCAGCTGTCAATCAATTCGGTGGGCGGGGGGACCGCACTCCTACGTAAAGTTGCGGTCGGTCTGAAAACCGCTCTAATTGGTCCACCGTTTTTATGTTGTTAAATTAAAAAAAAAAGGACTGGGTGTGTTTGTATCACCCCAATATGATGGCCTATACACTATATATACACATATGTTTGTCCAAATAGCTTGAAAAGTAGATTTTTCACCATAGGTGCCCTTTAAATTTGATCCAAACTGGGCCTTTTAGCTTTATTAAATATGCAACATGAATTGTGAATCCATGAAATAAGACATTATCATTGACGTGACTGATATTTTCACTGACCTTTGACATAGACGTAGGCGCTGTGCTCAACGGTTCCATCCCATGTGCGCAGGCGAACAGTGTATAGACCTTCATTCTCCTTGTGCACATGCTTCACAGTGAGACTGGCAGATCTCAGAGCAGTCTGCAGCTCCACACGACTGGACGGACGCACAGCCAATCCTGAACACAAAGGGAGGAATTACAGAAACTGGGTGGTTGCTATGCAGTAGCTACAATGTTGCAACTGGTTGATATGCTGTTGCTAGCATGTCCTGGGTGGTTGCTATGCATTTACTACAATGTTGCAACTAGTTGATATGCTGTTGCTAGCATGTCCTGGGTGGTTTCTATGCAGTCGCTACAATGTTGCAACTAGTTGATGTGCTGTTGCTAGCATGTCCTTGGTGGTTGCTATGCAGTTGTTACAATGTTGCAACTAGTTGCTATGCTGTTGCTAGCAAGTCCTGGGTGGTTGCTATGCAGTTGTTACAACGTTGCAACTAGTTGCTATGATGTTGCTAGAGTGTCCTGGGTGGTTGCTATGCAGTTGTTACAATGTTGTAACCAGTTGCTGTGGTGTTGCTAGACTGTTTGTGTGGTTGCTATGCAGTTGTTAAAATATTGCAACATGTTACTATGGTGTTGCTAGAGTGTCCTGTGTGGTTGTTATAAGGTTGCTACAATGTTGCAACTAGTTGCTATGGTGTGGCTAAAGTATCCTTGGTGGTTGCTATGCAGGTGCTATAATGTTCTAACAAGTTGCTATGGTGTTGCAGTTTTTATGTTTTTAAACCATTTTAAGGTCAATATTATTAGTCCTTTTAGGGCAATTTTTGAAGGGGGGGGGGGTAATAATTCAAGGGAGCTAATAATTCTGAGTTCACTGTATGTGTGAATGCTCTTTTCTGGAAAAATTTCGTAACATCCTCGTCTGTGTGAACAGCACGTTTAAATTTACCGGTAAAGTCGTTTTGGTAGTTTTCCAGATATTTACCGGTATCACTGTGTGAAAGAGGCTAATGTCTTTGCATTAGATGTAAAACTCTATGTATCGTGTCTCACCATCTCTGTACCAGGTCACATCCTGCTGGAAAGGAAGTAAAGCTGTGGTGAAACTGCATTGGAGAACCAAGTTGTCCCCCTCTTTCACAAAAGTTGGAGGAAATGTGGAGGCCAGCTGAGCATCCGGCTCTGGAACTGGGACTAGAAAACGAAAGAACACTGTAAAAAATCCAACTTGAAAAAAGTTGAAATTCCTTCTTTTTTTTTTTTTGTTGGTTTGTCTAAAATCTGTAAAAATTTCTGTACAGCTACATTCAACACATTTACTAACCTAAATCTAAAACTTCAAGTTAAAAAGTTTAGTTTTGTGAGCAAAACTTTACAAGTTCACCTAAAAAACTTGTTACTTTAAGTTGAGTTAAAGGTGCAGTAGGTGATCGTCCTCAGAAACATGTGCTGTTGTGCTTGTTGAAAGTCTCTTTACACTCCAATATTACTGATTAAAGTAAATGATTTAAATGTGTTTATATGTATTTTATATTCTGGATAAGGCATAAGACTAATAAATGTTCATCCGATTAAAATACTTTTACTTGAGTAAAAATTTCCGCAAGAACATTTACTTGAGTATAGATTTTGTATACTTTACCCACCACCTCTGATTAAGAGAATAAGCTCAACCCTGTTAGACCATGCGCAGGGGTGTAGGCCATATTTCTCCATCCTTGCGCTCATTGCGCCATGAGCTTTAGACTTTGCGCCTAGATCGTTAAAATAGAGCCCTAAGGGGCTGTTCACACTGCAGACAGAAATGTGGCCCAAATCTGATTTGTTTTTTTGCCAACACGTGTGACAGTGTAAACAGCCCTAGCCAACTCTTCTAGTGTTTTTTTGAATATTGTGCTATTAAAGCTTGTTCATAAATGTACTCGTACTGAGTTTAACAGACATCAGCAGAGCATACCTGTCAACCTTCTCGTATTTTACAGTTCTATCCAGCTATCATTCTGTAAAGGTATTTTTCGGTATAAAGCAATCGAATTTCGCAAGCAATCGAATGCTTTCATTATAATGTTACATACGTGCATTTTTAAAGTGACACCTGTTATTTAATGTAATCAAACCAAAAATCCAAATAAATGAGAGATTCATTCGCTGCACTTTAACCAGAATGTTCAAGTTATACAGTGAACAAACGGCTTGTGAGATTTGATAGCTTGATTCTATTTCATTATGATAGCTATTCATTTTAATAAGCTGAACTGTTTGCTAATGGATTTGCTGCTGATGTAAACAACCCGGGCTCATTGTGGAATTTTAGCCACGCGGACGTTTCTAGAGACCACGAAATACGTCCCGGGAGGTATGTATTTGAGCAGTTTTTGTTTTCGCGAATCCGTGAGAGGCCGCTGTGCGCGCTTTTTCGCGTCTCGGACGCCTCTCGGGAGCGCGCGCCGCTCAAGCCCGCGCTGTTCTCGCGTGAAAAGCCGCCGGAGGCTGCTGTACAGCGGCCGTCCGTTCGGCTGACTGGCTGAACGACTGAACGATCGACCGGGCGACCCAGCCGTGCTCCTTCTCCTTCCCTAAACCCAAGCGACGATTTGCAAAAGCCGTCCAGAAAAAAAAAAGCAAAAGCCCTTGTCCAATTTTGACCGCGTTTTCGGATCTCACCCCGTCGCGAACTCGTTCGCTTTTATTTTTTTGGATTCTGTTTTTCATCTTACCTGATTTCAGGAACTGCTCTTCCCCAGATTTGATCCCGGTCGCCGCCGTGGCCAGCTCCTCCTCCCTCTGGGCCTCCGCTCCGCCGACGTAACGCTGCGAGCTAAGCGGACAAACTGGTTGAAGCGGGAAAGCCCTCCATACGGAGGTGAGCCGTCAGCCGGCGAGCGCGAAGAGGAGGAGCGGAGCGGCGTCACACCGCCCCCAGCGTTCGCTCGATTAAAAAAAAAAAAAAAAAAAACGTGGGCAAACGTACCTCCGGCCATGTAAATCCCAGTCTCCAGAAACGTCCGCGGGGCTACGTTTCCAGAATAAGCTTGGGTTGGATGTAAACTTTTTATTTTTTCTTTTGTAAATAATAATAAAAATACTATGTATTACTGACCCTTTACCTGTTTATTTACAATGAGACAGCTCCAAATAAACATAATAGCCATGTTTCTACTGTCGCGCCTGAAGCAAGCGAGCCAGGGCGAGCCAAGGCCAGTGCGCTCACTGTGCTGGGTCCATCCGTTAGTGGCGAGACCACTCGATTTCGATGCTAACAGTCGGTCGGTGAGTAAATGAATGATGAATGAGAACACACAGGCCTGTGCTTATAGATATATAATGTAATGCTAAACAGTAACGGGCTATTTGTTTGTTTCGGTTGTCTTTATTTGAATGGTTTCGTTATGATGTGATGGTGTGCTTTATCTGCCTGACTCCTGCTGAAGTGGGCGGGTTGTGTGACGTTTTGCTTCGGGGGATGTTCTGGACAGGTTTGCATGATGCTCTGCAAGCTGCGCCTGACATTGGAAACGCGACATGATTTCGGCCTCACTGCTCAACCTCCCGGGCGATTTGCCCGGCCCGGCTCGATTAAAGCCCTGGCTCACACTGGCCCGACAGTGTAAATGTGGCTATTGAGTACTTTAGTTTTTTTTTTAAGGGGACTGGGGGTGGGTGGTGGGTGTTTTCACATCCCAATGTTGACAGGTATGCAGCAGAGACACCATCCACACCACTCACAATGAAGAACTCTCACCGGCATCGTTTTCTACAGGAATCAAGTCGTTAATGTTTCAATCCACTCACTTTTAATTACATTTATGAAGTGACAGGCCTTAAGTGGCTTTTGTTCGTGTTCTTCTTGCCTTCGGCAGGCGGAGGAAAATGAAAGAACTCAATTAGGGCACATGTCGCGGGAAGCGTAATGGAAAAAATTGTTCCATTTTCTTTCCAGTTTCAATTCCTGGCAAACTGCGGCAAAGAAAAACACTCGAAAGATGAGCACAAATATTAGTGTAATGAGAGAAATGCCACAGCCTAGCGCAGGGACGACACGCAGGCTCGATCTGACAATGTTAGAGAAGACACTCTGTTTGTTTAGCCATCGCTTTTCAGAGAATTGAGGCGAGATGGAATTAAAAGTAATGTGACACAATTCTGCATGCTCACAAATGAACTGTGATGTTCCCTCGTAGCAGCAGAAGGGCTGTAATGGGAATTCAGAGTCGTCTGAAAATGCTGTAGCTCTATTGGTGACATAACGAAGCCATTTCTGTGCTAAATATGAGCCACCCTGCAATAGTCTATGATAAGGTGTGCTTGAATGTAAAAATGTCACAATGTTTGGTTATTGTGACACTCTCACATTCACACACTCATACACTACGGTTAATTTAGTTCATCAATTCCCCTATAGCGCATGTGTTTGGACTGTAAGGGAAACCGGAGCACCCGGAGGAAACCCATGCCAACACAGGGAGAACATGCAAACTCCACACAGAAGTGACAACTGGCCCAAATGGGACTCGAACCAGTGAGGTGACGGTGCTAACCACTGTGCCATCAATGTATTGTGAGCAATATTAGCAGTTAGAGAATTTCAACCAGAAATAGAAGACCATCAGGGTCTCCTTTGGCATACTCTTATCAGCAAACTACAATTTGGGACATACTAGTTTGATTCTTGTATACTATTTAGGACGGATAGTATGTGAATTAGGACGCAGCATAAGCTCATTCATTCATTCATTTCCTTGTCGGCTTAGTCCCTTTATTAATCTGGGGTCGCCACAGCGGAATGAACCGCCAACTTATCCAGTAAGTTTTTATGCAGCGGATGCCCTTCCAGCCGCAACCCATTTCTGGGAAACACCCACACAAACATTCACACACACTCATACACTACGGACAATTTACCCTATACCCAATTCACCTGTACCGCATGTCTTTGGACTGTGGGGGAAACCGGAGCACCCGGAGGAAACCCACGCGAAGGCAGAGAGAACATGCAAACTCCACACAGAAACGCCAACTGAGCCCAGGTTCGAACCAGCGACCTTCTTGCTGTGAGGCTACAGCACTACCTACTGCGCCACTGTCTCGCCTCGCAGCATAAGCTAATAAATAAAAATAAAATGCAGCCCAGTCACAGAATTGCTCTTACATTTTAAGGGTTAATAAAAGCAGAAACACTTACTAGGAGTAAAGGAGCGCTGCAGCTTGGCCTCGGCCCCTTCATGTGCTGCAGATAGAAGAGTAAAGAGAATAAAACTGAAAGTTGATGTACAATCCAGCAGCTTTGAGAATGAGCAGATGTTACTGATGCAATAATGGTGCAGTTTTGTAGACCAGGATGAGGTCCAGTAATGTCTGAATAATGAGATGAACATCAGCTCACAGTTCACTATCAGTGTGGCGCTGGATGCTGCTTCTCCCAGGGAACTTCTCGCTATGACTTTATATTCTCCGGCATCTTCAGCAGAACATCTGCAAACACAAAACAAAAGTGAACAAGGCCTCGGGAAACTGTTCTGCCAAGTGTGATCTGCATGTAGCTTTCAATTTTTAATGAAAACAAAAGAACTGTTATTTTCCAGAAAATTAGGCAACTATTAAATAAACTAATAGACAGATTTTTTCAGTTTGTTTTAAAATAGGTTATTTATCCCCAAATTATTATTCTAAAAATTCAACTGAACCATTTATATATATATATATATATATAATAATAAAAAAAAATACATAATTTAATAATAATAATATAATCAAAAATAATAATAACAACAACAACAACAACAACAATAATAATAATAATAATAATAATAATAATAATAATAATAATAATAATAATGATAATAAAAACCATAATAACAACAACAACAACAACAATAATAACAATATAATAATAATGATTTGGGGATGGTTAGGAAGCCATGATGGACAGAGGCCAGTTGGCAAATTTGGCCAGGATGTCGGGGTTTATAGTCTCATCCAAAAGAAGGCGCTCACTGAGCAGTATAGAGTCCCCATCAATATACTGGGGCGTTAGGACCCACACAGACTGCAGGTTGAGCGCCCCCTGCTGACCTCACTAACACCATATTATATTGTATATTATATATATATATATACATCAATTATTATAATGTATTTTTTTTGTCCAGTGCTAAGTATTGATTACTTTAACGGGATTTATTAACATATCCTCCAAGTACAGTCAAATTCCTATAACTTTAAAAGTCTAAATGTTTCATTTAAAAAAAAAAATAAATAAAAAAAAAAAAATATATATATATATATAATACACACCCGTTTATTATTATTATATATTATGTATTCATTTATTCATTTTCATTCATTCATTTATTCATTCATTTTCCTTCTGCTATGTTTTTATTTTAGAGGTCGCCACAGCAAAATGAACTGCCAACTATTCCAGCATATGTTTTATGCAGCAGATGCATTTACAGCTGCAACCCATTATTGGGAAACACCCAACCACACTCATTTACACACACGCTCATACACTACGACCAATTTAGTTCATCAATATCACTATAGCGCATGTGTTTGGACTGTGGAGGAAACCTCGCCCACCCGGAGGAAACCCTCGCCAACACGGTGAGAACATGCAAACTTCACATAGAAATGCCAACTGGCCCAGCCAGGACTTGAAGCAACAACCTTCTAAGCTAACCACTGAGCCACTGCACTGCCTCAAGTAAATTACTTAATTTATATACATATGTTTTTAAAAGTTTTATTTTAAGATTTAATTTGTTATTTTTGTTTAATTTCATTTGAAAATCTAAAACTAACAAATAAATTACCAAAATAAACGGCAACAACAAATCAAAAACAAAAAGCTGCCATAATCCCAGTGTAGTGAATGAAGGCAGAGGTTTGCCGGCTCACCTCCTGATCTCCAAGATGTGGAGGCCGAATCTGCTGCTGATCCTGTAGTTCCAGGGCAGCGGCGGCTGCAGAGGAACGTCATCCTTAAACCTGCGGAGATGTTCATTACTGATTTGCTCTGGACATTCAGGCCCCATTCATTCAATCATTCATTCATTTTTTTGTCGGCTTAGTCCCTTTATTAATTAAGTTATTGTTGTATTGTATTATTAAGTTTTTACGCAGCGGATGACCTTCAAGCCGCAACCCATATCTGGGAAACATCCACACACACATTCACACACACACTCATACACTACGGACAATTTAGCCTACCCAATTCACCTGTACCGCATGTCTTTGGACTGTGAGGGAAACTGGAGCACCAGGAGGAAACCCACGAAAGGCAGGGAGAACATGCAAACTCCACACAGAAACGCCAACTGAGCCGAGGTTCGAACCAGCGACCCAGCGACCTTTTTGCTGTGAGGCGACAGCACTACCTACTGTGCCACTGCCTCGACCACCGGAAATGGATCGAAATGCTGACGAGGCTGTTTTCATTTTAAAACGCTGCTGCTGTGTGTCAGTGTAGATGGGAGAAATGGAGACATCTGAAAACAGAGGCGTGGCTACAGACATTCATCCATATGATTGGGGCTTTTTCCTCAATATTAGATAGCCTATACAAAGTTCAGTACTGCCTCCTTTTCTTGTAAGTTTAGACTTGGCAAGTTTGATATGGAAAAAAAACTCCCGAGGACACCTCGGGTAAAAACAGTGTACTTCGCACCTCATTCGCATCACCCTGGCTACATTGATTCATATACATTGTTCATGTACATTGTTTTTATATCTTAACAATTTAAATGAAAACATGATATGTGGAACTGCCTATTTTCATTTTGATATTAACTTAACAGACACTAAGAATGTTGAGGCATCACATAGCTACATATTTAAATGACCATCATCATCACTGTACGCACATCTATAACCAAACAGAGCCTCTAACAAAACTGCCTACTTTTACTTTCACTCTCTGTTCACTTCACTCATTAACTTATCTTTGCACTCAGCCAAAGCGCGGTACCTGAGAATAAGTAATGGATTTAAAAGACCAAAGAGTCGTTAGATAAAGACAAGATGAATAAAATATCACGTTTAACAACTATAGTGAGATGAAATCCAGCGGAAGATCCTTGATGAACTGTCTGATGTGCGCTGCTCTCACCTGGGGAGCTGTACTCAAAGCACCTACTGACTGCCTGAAGATTAGATGCGTGCATACGCTGCAGTGCATGCCAGAGTGTGTGTGTGGTCAAGTGAAGTGCGTTTTCAGCAGTCATAAATAGAATACTATAAGAAGGAGAACATCATACTTCAATGTTCACCTGCTCTTTTGTCTATGAAGGTATTGTTGTCTCTTTGCTCAGCTCACCTCTTCATGTCTTCAAATGTCAGTGGTTTGTTCACGTTACACTTACAGTCACATATAATCTCAACAAATGTACACAGTCTGAGCCGATAGGAGCGATGGTAATTAGTTCACCTTTCAAGTCTTCTGGTTCTTGAGTCGTTTGTTCATCATGTAACAGAATGACTCAAACCCGAGGACTCGAGAGATGAACGGATCAATTCTTTTTCCGGCTCTAAACGCGTATGATAGGCCCGTGATGAACGAATGACTCAGATCCGATAGAGGACTCGAGAGGTGAACTGATCAATTCTTTTTCCGGCTCTAAATGCATATGATTGGCTTCTGCCTTTCCGCGATGAACGACTCAAAAGACTTGAATGAACGATACCACCTGCACAAATGTGCGCACGCGCGGATGACCGAATCACTCCCTGAGAGGACTCGTAGTTCCCGAGTCATATTGAAGATTCGTTCAAAATGAACCAATCGTTCTTGAACGACCCATCACTAGTGAATAGAGAGTTGCTCAGAAATACTAAGTGAACTGCCAGTGTGGACGTGGATTGTTTTCAATCTAAAACGCTGTTTTAAAACTAAAAGGTATTAGTGTAAATGAGGCCTCATGCTGTAACAGGGGTGTCAAACTCAGTTCCTTGAGGGCTGCAACACTGCATAGTTTAGATCCCACTCTGCTTCAACACACTTAGCTGTAGGTTTTCAAACAAGCCTCAAGAATTACTTTAATGAGGTGTAATTAATTAGGGTTTAAGATAAACTGTGAAGAGCTGTGGCCCTCCAGGAACTGAGTTTGACACATGTGAAGTAACCGAATTCAACACCTACACTGTAAAAACAAAATACAGTTATTTTTTTCAGTGTACATCAGAGCCTTCAGACTGTGGCATATGTGTGTGTGTCTCACCAGGTGATGCTGGGATCAGGGAAGCCCTGCACAGAGCAGGAGAGTTTAACATCCATCCCGCACCACACCGTATGAGGACGCAGCGGCACGCTGAAATCTGGAGCCTTCAAGCTCAAATCCTGCACATGCTTCAGGTGCTGCGCAGCTTTTCTCTCCGCCTGCACACATTTCACATTTACATCCAGTTATTCAGCACTTGCTGAAGTTGAAGCTGAGTTTCTAATTAAAGTCAAGTAATTTCTACAATCTTTTAAAGGTTTTTAGTTTTATTTAACTCCTACACCTTGTCCTAACAACACTAGACAAGATAACAGCAATAAGTAATTTGTCTGTCCGCACCAAAACCAACGCAACATGACAGAAGCATTTAAATACCAGCTACTGCACTCCTGACAAAATAGTAAAGGGTTGGGAAATAAAGGGAATGTAGGTTTGTCCACTGGTTGAGAGTCTGAGTTTGTGCAACACAGGCTCATTGTGAAAATGTACCCCTGTATACATTTCTGGAGAGCGCAAATTATGTAGCCAGAGGTATGTCTTTAAAAGGAACATTATGGGACGGTATGACATTGCTAACGGCTTGCTTTCTTTTGAGCTACCAGCTGACCGCTTACCTCCATGTGGACGGCTTTTCAACTGTTTGCCCAGTGGCTATCCACATACGTCGGCGGATATGAGATGCAGAGGAGTTGACTGCAAAGACAGGGTTCGAGTCCGTCAAAGAACGGTAACAGAAAAAAAAAATAAACAAGTAAAAAGCAGGGTGAGAATGTGGTAAGATCTGAAAATGTGATAAAAATCAGACGGCTGTGAGAACTTTATTTTTTCCGAATTGTTTTTGAAACACAATCGGATGGGTTCAGGGAAGGGTTGGGTGGGGGTTTCGATCGGTCAGTCAGTTGTAAGCGTTCTCTAGTGGATTTACGTGAGCACAACAGGCGCGAATGGTACTTGCTAGAGAAATTTGAGATCTGAAAAAGTGTAGACAGCGGCCTCTGGTGGATTCGCACTGCAAAAACACGTAGCTCCTGGGACACATTTGGCACTCTCCAGAAATGTATACAGGGTTTTCAGAACGAGCCTGGGTTGAGTTTGTGGCTGGCTGATACATTCAGTATAGGTTGTCTGCAATCATGTGGTTCAATTTGGATTAATATGCTGGAATTCTCTGAAATACCCATCGCTCACTCTCTCACCTGACTCCTGAGAGCTGATCGGTTGACCTGCTGGCGAATCAGATGCTGGTTTCTGATCAGTCCCACCTCCATCTTCTCCAGCTCATTTCCAAACAGCGTCCACTTCTGACGTTCTTGCAGATCCTCAGCGCACATGGTCTCCTTCAGAGCCTCCCTGCGTGCGCACGCACGCACGCACGCGCACACACACACACACACACACACACACACACACACACACACACACACACGCACGCACAGATAAATATCTATCATAGATAAATAAAATGAATGAATTTTACTACAATAATGAAGAACATGTTTGAAAGATACACAACAAACACAAGACCGCAGTTTTACAGTTCAGTCACTGGATGTGTGGCATTTTTTTTTCCAGATGGGTTTCAGTCTGCACTTGTCTGCAACAAGAATCGTCAGCCAAACCGGTCCAGGGTCAAGCTGACAAACAGGATTAAAAAATCCTGGCGAGGAGCAACAAGAGCTGGTTTACAGGTGAGTGTGAGATCGAGATCAACACATCTCTGCTCTGCATCTGAAGTCTGATTTACTGACTGACCTTTTCTGCAGGTTTTCCCCCTCGCCGTGACCGTGTTAATGTCTGCTCTGAACAGGATTACAGGATCGCGACTAAAGCGGCTCTCGGCAGGAGCTCAATTGCAGGTAAACCCGTTAAGCGTGAGAGGAGCATACAGGAGACGTGCTTTTTCCCATGATGCCGAGCGCAGAGAGCAGACAGCGGTTTAGTTTAATTCTCAGGTCACAGTTGACTACAGAATCATGAATAACGGGAGCACAGTAAAGAAAAGTCAGCTGAACTAAATCCTAAACTAGGGAAAAGCTTGTGTTGATATTTAAAATGTATTATACAAAAAATGAAAAGCACACGGGTTACATAATGAATGAATGAAAATAACTAGATATTTTTTTTGGAATTTATGGGTCTATATTTTGCTAAAAATGTCTAATGGGAATTCCATAAATAATGAATGAATAAATGAATATATAAATGAAAAAAAATGAATGAATGAATGAATGATCGAATGAAGGAATGAATGAATGAATTAATGAAGGAATGAATGAATGAATGAATGAATAAATGAATGAAAAATTAATGAACAAATGAATGAATGTATTATACAAGAAATGAAAAGCATGTTGGTAAAATAATGAATAAATTAAAATAACTAGATATTTTTTAAATGTAAAGGTACATATTTTGCAAAACAAATCGAATTGGAATTTCATAAACAATGAATGAGTTAATGTAAAAAATGAATAAATAAACAATGAATGAATGAATGAAAATAAATGAATGAATGGATTATACAAAAAAAAAAAAAAAAGAAAAGTACATAGGTAAAATAATGAATAAGTGAAAATAACAAGACCTTTTTTGGAATTTAGAGGTGCATATTTTGCAAAAAAATCTTATGGGAATTTCATAAACAATGAATGAATGAATTAAAAAAACATATGAATGAATGAATGAATGAAATGAATGAATGAATGAAAATGATTGAATGAATGAATGAACAAATAAAAAAAGACAAATTATCAAATGAACAAATAAAAATGAGCTAAACTAAAAACTGAACGAGGGAAATGTTTGTTATGATATTCAAAATGTATTATACAAAAAAAAAAGAAAAGCAAAAGGGGTAAATGAATTCATTCATTCATTCATTAATGGAAAAAGAATAAATGAAAAAGGATATATTTAGATATTTCTGAATTTTTAGGTACATAATTCACATTTAACGCAAAATGGGAGATCTATCAAAAATATATAAATAAAAAAATACAAAAAAAAAAAAGAATGAACAAATGAATAAATGATTGAGTGAACGAATGAACAAACAAAACTGAACAAATAAAAGAACTAACTGAAAGAACAAATTAATGGACAAACAAACGAATTGAATGAATAATGAAATTAATAAAAGAATGAATCAGCCCTAAAGTATAAATGAATGAACAAACACGTGAATGAATGAACAAACACAATTTAATTAATTGAATTAATAAATAGAGACATAAACAAATTAATGAATGACAATTAATTAACAATTATAATAAACAATAACAAACATATATAATAAGCAACTGAATAAGTAAACAAACAAAGACTGAACACATGAATGAATGAATAAATGAATGAATGAATGAATGAATGAATGAATGAAAATATTTCTATCTTGACATTTTTAGCTACAAAATTCACACCAAAAATCTAATGGAAATTCCATCAAAAATGTACACATAAAAAAATAGAAAAAATAGAACAAACAAATGAATGGATGAACAAAACAAATGAAAAAAAATGAAAGAACTAATCAAATGAATGAATGAACAAACACATGAATGAATGAATGAATGAATGAATTATTAAATTAATGAAGAAACAAATGAAACACATGAATGAATGAATACATGAATGAATATATAAATGAATGAATGAATGAATTAAGAAATTATAAAATTAACGAATGAACAAATGAATAAGTATAATAAACAATAACCAATAAATATATAAACAAATGAATCAATGAATGAATAAATGAATGAAATGAATAAAGGAATGACTGAACATACTTCCGAATAAATGAAAAAACAAACATGTGAATGGATGAACGTGAATGTACGATTGTAATAAACAATAACAAACATATATAAACAAATAAAAGATTGAATACATGAATGTGTGTAGTACCATGTCCTGTGACGAGGGAACTTGGGTCCAGTCAGGATCTCTTTGACAGACATGACGTCACCAGGAATGATGGGATAGAATTCACCCAAGGAGGCTTCTTCATCACTACACACACACACACACACACACACACACACACACACACACACACACACACACACACACACACACACACACACACACACGAAGATAAAAGCACATCAACACCAGTGAAGCTCAAACACCAGTCGAATATGGATAGATTGAATATTGTTTATATTGAAATTTGCTGGAAGAAAAGTCAAAAGCATTCTGGAAATTATTATTAATTATGTTAGCTGTGGTTTTACTTTTTGTATGAAATGTTTTAATTTTTATGTTTTTTTTTTTTTTAGAAATATGTTCATCTAATATTTCACCCCAAAACCAAATCAAACACAGACAGACCAATCTCTCTCCCTCAACACTAGTGGGCGCTGTGAGCATAAATCAGCCTCTGTCAGTGTACATGCTTGAACGATCGTCCAGATTCTGAATTGACTGCACATTTCTTCCTCAAAGCTCCTGTTGTAAGAAACTGATGAAACAATCCTTCATACTTCAACAAGTTTCAGATACAGCATTTCATGCGCTGTTCCTCCATTTCACGCAGCCGGCAAATGTGTAAATAATACATATGTGACAGGCTCTTATCTGCTGTAATGTGTGTGAAGGAGCTTGCTGAAAAGAGACAAGCAGAAGAGTTTCTGACAGACAGACAGTCATGATGATGTGTATGTCACTCTGTCAGTTGCTCCGGCAGCTCTGGGTTCACACATGGAAAATACTATAGTCAATTATAGTAAATGCTGCAGTGTTTTAAACCATTTTCCATAAACGTGTTATAGTATTTACAACCCTTTTCTATAATACATGCTGCTGCATACTGTAACTATAGAAATCTGTTTAACTATCACAAACACTGTAGTATACTTTAGTTTTTACTACAGTAAACTGGTGTATTGTGGTATAATATACCCTGTAGTAGTGGTAAACTACAGTATTAGGTCATTTGCTTATATTACTATAGTTGTTATGTTATCATGACAACTAATGAATCACAGCACCAGATAAATTATTAGTTGTTGTGTTACCATAGCAACTATAGAATCACCACAACAGTTCAATTATTATAGTTTTTGTTACCATAGCCACTATAGAATCTCCACAACAGATCAGTTACTAGTTGCTGTTACCATAGCAACTATAAAACCCTCACAACAGATAACTCACTATAGTAGTTATGTTACCATAGCAACTAAATAATCACCCCAATTCAATTATTATCGTTGTTACTGTAGCAACTACAGAATCACTACAACAGTTCAATTAGTATAGTTGTTACCATAGCAACTATAGAATCACAACAGCAGTTCAATTATTATAGTTGTTACCATATCAACTACAGAATCACCACAACAGTTCAATTACTATAGTTGTTACCATAGCAACTATAAAATCACCACAACAGACCAGTTACTATAGTTGTGTTACCATAGCAACTATAGAATCCTCAAAAAAGATCAATCACTATAGTAGTGGTGTTACCATAGCAACTATAGAATCCCCACAACAGATCAATTACTAAGTGTTTTTACTATGACAACTATAAAATCATCCCAACAGATCAATTACTACAGTTATTGTGTTACCTTGGCAACTATATAATCACCAGAACCAAACAATTACTATAGGTGTTGTGTTACCATAGTAACTATATAATCACCACAACAGATTAATTAATATAGTTGCTGTTACTATAGCAACTATAAAATCTCTACAACAGATCAAATACTGTAGTTGTGTTACCATAGCAACTATATAATCACCACAACAGATCAATCACTACAGTTGTTGTGTTACCATAGCAACTATAGAATCTCTACAACAGATCAATTACTGTAGTTGTGTTACCATAGCAACTATATAATCACCACAACAGATCAATTACTACAGTTGTTGTATAACCATAGCAACTATGGAATCTCTACAACAGATCAATTATTTTAGTTGTGTTACCATAGCAACTATATAATCACCACAACAGATCAATTATTACAGTTGTTGTATAACCATAGCAACTATGGAATCTCTACAACAGATCAATTATTGTAGTTGTGTTACCATAGCAACTATATAATCACCACAACAGATAAATCACTACAGTTGTTGTGTTACCATAGCAACAATATAATCTCTACAACAGATCAATTATTGTAGTTGTGTTACCATAGCAACTATATAATCACCACAACAGATCAATTACTATAGTTGTTATGTTACCAAGGCAATTGTAGAATCACCACAACAGATCATTCACTAGAGTTGTTGTATTTCCATAGCAACTATAGAATCATCACAGCAGATCAATTACTACAGTTGTTGTGTTACCATAGCAACCATAGAATCCCTACAACAGATCAATTCAAATACTAGTGTTGTTCAGAAACACTACAGTAGTATTTTTTCTTGCGAGTCTCTCACCTCACAAAAACTCTTTCCACATTGTTGTCAGACATCACTGTTATTGTTGCTGACATTGGAGATTAAGAATATATTGTATGAACTAAGTGCAACAGTCATTTCCAGAAGTAAAAACTATACCTGGTTTATTCATCCTCATACGGGAATTAATTTTTAACAATAACCACATAAATATTTCAAGACAGACGTACTGTGAGCTTTTAAGGTTGCTAATCTAAAGTATAAGTCTTTGTGAAAGCCTTCAGTTTTCATTATCTCAACTTAGTTTTACAACAACTGTGTTTGACAGCTAAATTCATGCTGCAAAAACAGACTATATTACCCATGATGCTGTGCAGAAACTTTTTTTTTACCCAACATGTTGACATTTTATATTCCAAAATGTTTTTTGAAACATTAAAATAGACACGTTAACAGATAAATATAAAATTATAAGACATTTGGACGTGGACCTAAATTTTATCTTTAGGCTGTATTGTATTTAATGAGTTATTTATTTATTATTCATATGAACTATTTACCAGTGTCATTACAGTGTATTAAAGGGATAGTTCACACAAAAAGTCAAATTCACGCACTATTTTCTCGCCTTCCAGTGGTTTTAGACCTTTATGAGTCTTTTTTGTTTCTGTTAAGCCCAAAATAGCACAGAAGATATTTTGAGGAATGTTGGAAACCGGTAACTATTGACTTTCAAACAAATATGGAAGTCAGTGCTTCACATTTTCAGGATTTGTTCAAAATATCTTTGTTTGTGTTCAGAAAAAAAGAAACTCAAACAACTAAAGATCTGTGACAAGTAAAGTTTGAGTAAATAATAACAGAATTTTCGATTTTGAGTAAACTATCCAACCCAGGCTCATTCTGAAATGAAGTCCCGTGGACGTTTCTTGAGACCGCGAATTATGTCCCAGGAGGTATGTATTTTTGCAGTTTTTGTTTTTCGCAATTCAACGAGAGGCTGCTGTGTGTGCTTTTTTGTATCTCAAATGTCTCTCGGGAGTGCTGTTCGCGCCCGCGATGTTCTCGCGTAAACCCACCAGAGGCCGCTGTTGAACGACCGTCTGTCTGACTGACTGATTGACTGAGTGACCGACCAATTGACTGACCCACCCTTCTGCTTCCCTAAACCCAAACAATTTTACCGATTGACCCGCCCACCCGCTTACTTCCCTAAACCCAACCGACGGTTTACAAAAGCCGTCCAGAAAAAGTAAAGCTCTCATCTGATTTTTACCACGTTTTTGGATTTTACCACATTCTCACCCTGTTATTCACTTGTTCGTTTTAATTTTTGGTTTCCGTTTTTGTCTTACCTGTCTTCTGGAAATGCTCTTCCCCGGACTCAAACCCGGTTGTCGTCGTCATGGTCAGCTCCTCTCTGCGTCTCAAGTCCACCGAACAACACAACGAGCTAACTGGACAAACTGGTTGTGGCGGGAAAGCCCTCCACACGGTGGTAACCGGTCAGCCGGTAAGCGCCAAAAAAAGTCATCATACCGCCCTGTAGCGTTCGCTTAAAAAAATAAAATTCAGCCATACGTACCTCAGGCTACTTAATTTGCAGTCTACAGAAATGTCCATGGGACTACGCTTTCAGAACGAGCCTGGGTTGAAACTATCACTTTAAAACACATGTCAAAGCTCTGCACAGTTTAAGCCGCAGTCACACTGCACTTTTCTCCCAATTGACATCCATTTATACGCAATTGAATGCAGCAGAACGAAAATGGAAGCTTGTGAGACAAGTTTCGCATGTCTTTGCGTGAGAAAGTTCAAGTTTGGTGAACTCTGATGTGCAAAATTACATCATGTGATTGCATGAAAATAATCAAAGATCAAAACATGACCTCTGTACAGCAATTTAAAATATAGAGCAATCGCTCGCTTTCTTAACATCTAATCATATTGTTTTATCCCTCCTCACAGCCTTTGCTCAATACTTTGTTGATGCCCCTTTGGCAGCGATTACAGCCTCAAGTCTTTTTGAATATGATGCCACAAGCTTGGCTCACCTGTCTTTGGGAATTTGTGCCCGTTCCTCTTTGCAGTACCTCTCAAACTCTACCAGCTTAGATGAGAAGCGACGGTGTGCAGCCATTTTCAGATCTCTCCAGAGACGTTCAATAGGATTTAGGTCTGGGCTCTGGCTGGACCACTCAAGAACATTCACCGAGTTGTTGTGAAGCCACTCCATTGATATTTTGGTGGTGTGCTTTGGGTCATTGTCCTGCTGGAAGATGAACCGTCGCCCCAGTCTGAGGTCAAGAGTACTCTGAAGCAGGTCTTCATTCAGGATGTGTCTGTACATTGCTGCATTCATCTTTCCCTCTATCCCGACTAGTCTTCCAGTTCCTGCTGCTGAAAAACATCCCCACAGCATGATGCCAACACCACCATGCTTCACTGTAGGGATGCTTATAGCCTGGTAATGAGCGCTGCCTGGTTTTTTCCAAACCTAACGCCTGACATTCACACCAAAGAGTTCAATTTAGTCTCATCAGAGCAGAGAGTTTAGTTTCTGATGGTCTGAGAGTCCTTCAGATGCCTTTTGGCAAACTCCAGGTGGGGAGTGTCTTCCGTCTGGCCACTCCTCCATACAG